ATTATATTCTCTTGTGTGTATACATACACATATACTGATACCCAAAGAGAAAGAACATACCTGGATTAAATCATTATAGTACAACATTACAAAATTTTAATCTATGCTGCAAGGAAGAAAGTGTCTATCTACACACAGACAGATTCAGATATCTTTATGCCTTGAGTATAACTTAAATGTCTTCAGCAGTCAAGTATTTTTCATTGAAGTGTATCAATATAAGTTACTTTGTGTCAGATTTTGGGAGAACCTGATTGTGCAAAAATATATTATTGATTTTGAAGATATGCATCCATAAAACTCAAGGCACTAAATAACTGTTTTTCCTCCTTGAAAGATTTTCACTTTATGAATTACCATTAACTATTTGTACTGCAGGTGTCAGCATCCCAACCGTGTCAACCATGATGCTCTGCCCTGCAAAGCACTGTGCAAGAATATTGAAAGGCGATCTTTGCTAAGAAGCTTTACCAGATAGATATTATATCCAGTTTAAATAGGATATAACAAAGAAGACTGAAGAACATCAGGGATGAAGAGCAGTAGAGAAAGAAGGACAACATCAACACAATAAAAGTCAACAGAAGTAATTGCATTGCTTCCACTGATTTCCTAAGTAACCAAGCGTGCATGCCCTTGCTTTTCCATTTACATAATATTGATCTGTTGGCATACTGGTGAGTCAAACTGTAATCATTTTTAATTTAATCAGATTTACAGTAATGACACTATTTTTATAATTTATTTCTGTTATAATCTTAAAATAATGCTAAAGTTCTCTTGACTGAGTTTTCTTATAGTTCTTAAAAAAAAAAAAAAAACCTCCAAAACCACGGTGCTAGTGAGTGTTTGAACCACACAGCAAAACATATGTGTGTGTATTATCAGGAGCACATTTTCGTAAATACGTCTAAAACACCATAGCAACAAACTGCTTTGATAGGGACCACGCTTATGCAAGAGTCTTGTCTTGTCTAATTGATCCCATCCAAAGCAACCCATTTGGATAGCATGTTTTTTTCTTTGTCCTGGTTTATTTTCTTTGTTTCTCCCCCTTGCCCCAGCCCCAACCATTGCCTATTAGCACTTGCTCTACAGAAGTTAGGCAATGGGATAGTCTTGTGAGGAAGGAAGGCTTGTGTCAAAAACATCTTTTACTACACTATGGAAGTAGGAAGGCAACTTATGAAGACGCATATGCTTGTATTTTCTTGTACTTCTGTTTGAGATAACGCTCAGCCGTCAGTGCCAAGCTAAAAACATGCATTTTTGCATCTAAATAGTAATTTAATACATAACCCAATGAAGTAAATTCAGAGGTTTGTTATCACTGATTAATTGGTGATTGCTTGAAATTGGCTGATTAACAGTAATCACGTTCCAGGAAGAAGACGACACCACTTTACAATTATTTGCACTATAGAAGCAACAGACTTTTTATCCATAGAGCTTTTCATAAAATAGGTCATTTTTTGGCCAGTCTGTTGTTGTAGTCTGACTACTTATTCCAAAATGTATAAACTGCAAATGGGCAAAATTTTACATTTGTAAATACTGAGGGATTGCAAACCTAACCGTAGATAACACAGATCTTTGTCCAGATTTGCAGGTTCTTCTATCAGCAGTTTGGCTCAGGGAATTTCACTTAAAAGATTGCATGGCATTTCAAGGCACTAGCAAATTGTTCGGATTCCTTCCTAAAAAATATGCCATGACTTAAAGAAACAATTCCAGCACATAACGTAGTGAGTTTAAAGAATCCCACACAGCTAGGCCACAGACAGAGAACAAGATGCTCCTAAAGATCTTAACATCTCTGGGTAACAAAGTCATGGAGCCCAGACTTTCACTGAAGCAGCATTGGACCCACTGATTTGGTAGCATGGTTTTGCTAGGAATCATGTTGCCTTTGGCAGCTTTCCAAGCTTGTGCCTTACTCTTCCAAGGAAAGTACATTTAGTTGGCTCACTGAACGAGTTCCTGAAGAAGTTTTCCAACTTCTATATAGCAAGGTTGCGATTTCCCTAGTTTGCAACTCGAGATTATAGCTGTGCGGATAGCTGCTGTATAATAGATTAGAAAATTTAGTTTCTTTCTTAGCATGTGAAAGTTACACAAAAACTGTATGGCTCTATGTCTTTCTGGTTTAATGTTGTAACATTTCATTTGAAAAACAAATGGAAAAAGAAGTAAAATTAATGTTCTATTAATTTTACTATTAAAAACAAATGCAGAATCAGTTTCCTGGCATACATAAGACTCTCTTAGGAAACAAATTTTATTTCCTGTCACATGAGCTTAAAAGCAGACTAAGGACAGTAGCGGAAGCATGGGTTATTTCTGCCTCCTTAGCATCTGTGATTGGAGGCGACTGAAAGCTGACAGCTCTTCAACTGTGCTTTTACTCCCACTCCTTGAGGACAAGGCTTCTGCAGCCTCTCCTTCCTTCCAGGCTGCAAGAGAGGACTTCAGCCATGTACTCTCACAATTTGCAACATGACACAGAAGGATCCTATGCCTTCCCTGACTAATTTCAGGAAGCCAATGTATCATTAATCTGCTAAATTTCATGTTTTAGGAGAGAGAAGCTCACATTATACAAAAGGAATAAGCCTGTAGGAAAAAAATTGAACCTGTAAAACATTTATGCCAATTTACAAGATGCATTGATTTAAATAGCTGCATCTGCTTTTCGTTATAACTACTGGCTACAGTTGTCATCCATACACCACTCCCACAGCTCCACCTACAACTAATTACCCTGTGCATTGCTGACTCCTTCTGGCAGGCACTCCACTTCCCCTGATTCTCTAACACCACTGTCGCTGTTTTCATCTTCTTCCATCTGTTTTTGAATGTTGCCTGCTCCTCTAATAGCACTGATTAGTGAAGGTGAGGAAATGCCACAGTGCTTAAGTAATGTACAAATCATGGAAATGCACTTGGGCTACATCATGCTTTTGTTTGGCTTAAGGGTGTGGTTTCTATGGCAGTTAAAGCATTGGCTGTGTGTGTAATTAGTAAAGATCAGTCAGAAAGCAAAATTTGTGCAATAAAATCAGATTTAAACAGAGGGAGTTCCAACAAAGAAGTACATCTAGTGGTATCTCCTCAGAATCACTCAGCTATAAAAGCTGGTTAAGTTCTTTCCAATTTCATTCTCTTGGTTAGCTAGGATATTCTTCTGAACTAGAACTGAGAAATATCTAATGAAAAAGTAATCTTCTGTAGTATTTACTTCTATGTTTCCTCATTCCCCCAAACAAAGTTTGCATTGCTTCTTTAATAAAATAAACGTTTTACACTTGTTTTCTCTCTTTTCTTAGCAAATAAGTCAATCTGTCATCCTGGGTCAGGCACTCTCTTTTTTTGCAGGGGTGTGTGGTAATAGCCCCTGAGATATCATATCTCAGTGCAGACAAAAAAGGTCACCTGTGGCTACACTTCATATAGCTTCGAACCAGAGTTTTGCAGAGTTGAATCAGAGCATCATTTCCATTTCTTAAGACCTTGCTGATACATAGAAATTTGTGTATACTAAGCTATGAATGACAGTAGAGTGCTCCCAACTTGCATTGCCATCCTAAACTTAAAACATTTCTAAAAACAGTGCAAGTCTATAGAACACTTCAAATTCTTTTTCATACTCTTACTATTTTGAAAAACAGAGCATGCCTTTGACAATGTCAATTTTCATTCGCAAAGACTGACCTGCTCTCATAACCTGCTGATCTCTCCTCCTGTATCTTGGAAATGCACATTGAGCCATTGTACATTATTGTGTTTTCCACCAAAATACTCCTTGCTTATAGTGTCCCTCTGCAATGTTTATGCCTTTTCTCCTTCAATAGTTTAGCTATTGATTGAGCTTAGAAAATAAAAATTTAGCTGGCATTTTGCCCTGTTATGAAGTATTTATGAAAGAATGAATTCTGTCACTTTTTCTTTGAAGCATATGTCTAATATTAGGACAATATATAGCATAATTTCTCTGAATGAGTAAGGGAGGAGACAAAAAACTGATCCAAAGGCTCTTTCTACAGACAACAGATACATTTTTCCCCACCTCAAAGAAAAGGTGAAAGTAAATAAGCATGTTGCTTTGCAACAGGGTAATGTAAGCTTTTCTGTATCTGACAAACATGCTGAAATAATAGGTAGCTGTGTTCAGAAGAAAAATAGTGAATTGCCAGTATAAAAAATGGTCAGAGATAACTGCAAGTCTGACATTCCGATATCTCTTCTAAGCACCCACATGTGAACAGCGCGCACAGACTGCAGTCACTGGGCATGTGACTATTTGAGCTGTTGCCCTGGCGGGGCCCAGGCTGGCTTTCTACTGTCCTTTTAAGCTGGCCTAGGTGATAGCTGCCACCAAAAGAGGTCATTACACTTCCTTCCTGCAAACACACACCTACCTTAAGTTGTATATTCCTCCTGCCTCTTGCGCTGGCACGACTGGGCTGCGTGAGAGCTGTTTTGGCTAAAAAGATATTCCTGGGAAGACTCTCTAGCTCCTCCCTTCCCTTTCTCTTGTCCGTGGCGTCCTGCCTCTCTTCCCTGCTGCTCATCAGGGACTTTGCCAAATCGCTTGAATTCATTAATCAACAGAAAATGACTTCTGATATTTTACTCCCATAATTATCTCAGGCTTTAGAGAGTTGGATCAGCTCATGGAGAAATCTGGAGAGCACAAGAACTGGCACAGGTAAGGAAGGGGAGCAGGAATTTCTGCTGTGGCAGTAGTGAGTCACTGTGTTCATTCTTTGCCATCTCTTACCATCAGCATGTCCTATCTCTGTCCGTAAATTTAGGTCTGTGCTTCTATTTTTAGCTATATACATATCAATCAGTGCAAATATGGATCCCAGTTGGCCTTGCTTCTATAGAAAGCAAGCTGCAATCCACTTTATTCAATGAGAAATACTTGATTTCTCCTCATAAAGTCTCTACACTCCATACAAATTGAATTATCTACAATAAAACACGTTGTGCCGGGAGAGATCAAAGACAATACATTTATTAAACTTTGAGAAAAACAAACAAAACACTGACATAAGGAAAGTTAAATAGAAACCGAAAGACACAAATCTGAGCGGTGTATAATGGCTTGTGTGACCAGTTAAGTACCAAAATGACATTCTGAGTTTGATTGAGGTATTTATCTATTTTTGGCAATAGAAACAGAGAAAGAAACTTCTTCCAAACACACACATAAGCGTTAATTGTATTAGTGTCTATCATTATGAAATTTTATATGAAACTAAATAATGTAGCTGTTAGAAAAATATAGCAGCAAATTAGCAGAAAATCTAATGCACATTTACCATAAAGTACGTGCTAAACTTAAAAATCCCACCTAATAGTTGGGCCCGGTCCTGTAGCCCTTGGTCACAAAGAGAGCATCAGTGAATTCACTGGGAGACATCACGAGCAAGATCTGCATTTGCTGCACTTCATAAACTTCTATGCAGGTCAGAGAAAGGCAATGAACATCCCTATGTTCATTTCTAAGTAGTACTTCTGCTATGATGGACCTACGGCCTGCTATGGGAACTTCTGAAGCAGTAACAGTTCATTGCAAAGCTCTGTAAAGTTCTTAGTATACTTAAGAACAAAAAGCTTTCCCACTGAGTGTTGGTTTTCTCTCCTTTCCTTCTGAAAGCCTGCCTAATGCAGTCAGAGGAGATGCTGTTGGGCGGCAATAAAGATAAACACTTTTGAATAATACCATCTTCAACTCCCTTGTTCCATTGAAGGCTTTTAATCCCAGTATAGCTTCAAAACTGAACTGCTGGCCAAATCCTGAAGTCCTTATTTTATCTGTTTAATCAATACTTAATGTGGCACTAACTCATGACTGTTGTGATAGCTTTGGCTGAAAGAGGGCTTCAGAATTTGGTCAAATGTGAAAAGATTATGCTGCTAAGTCACTCGAGCTTATTCATGTGTGTTTCAAAATTGTTCAATGAAAGCGTAGTTCTACACTGTTAGATATTGTGGTCAACAAAAACTCGCTTATAAAAAAGTATATTATTAGTATTAACCAGGATCTGATGAAGCAGAAAATATCATTTGCCCAAATATTCTGTATCTTTTAAAGTTTTCTACAAAACTTTGAATTCAATGTATATTTTTATATTAGTTACCATAAGAAAGTAATAGGATCAGTTACTGTAAGTTCCTACAATATTTCAAAATTTCTCTATAGGTTTCTTTGGAGGTATAAAATGGCTCTGTAAAAAAATTATGTTTTCTTTTTCTTTTTGCTGCAAACAAAGCTTTTATAAAACAGAAAATACTTTTCTAAGCTTGCAGCAATTACATTGCTTAGATGGGTCATCATAATTAAACTACAGTGTGTAGTGTAATACAAAACATTTATGCTTTTATGACTAAAATATTAAAATATATTTTATTAATTTATATAAATCAAAATAAATGTGTTCTTTATTCAAACTACTTTCGTTTTTTCACCTATATGTTCAGTTCCCAATTACTGATATAAAGATCTCTGCCAACAGCACGATTTTTATTAAATTCTTAGACTTTAAACCACCTCATTTTTAGCTTTATCAAAAAGCATGATTTACTGTACATTAAACATAGTAATTTCAATGCTTAGTATCACAAAAATCAACACCCACAATAAAAAGACAGTCACTGCTAGTAAAACAGTCTCAAGACAAATTCATAGATAATATTTACAGAACACAATAGGAATATTTTGATGAACATTTTATGTTTCAACATTTCAGATAAAATTATAACAACCACAAGAAACTTTTAAACTTCATTTTGGTTTCAGCATACAAGCCCAAGCTGACTCTCTGCCATGAAATACTGCATACACCTAGTCAAAGAAGAGCTACGGCATGATTTTGTTCAGTTGGTCTGTGCTCACATAGCCACAAGATATGTTAAATTCTTTGTCTGGCACAGGCAGCGCAGTTGCATTCAGCACAAGGCCTTGTGGAGAGTGAACTATGTGAATAGAAGTATAGTCTGGGACAGGCATCTCCGAACTTGGAGTTTCTGCTGCCGCACCTCCAAGATTGACACCAGTAGTGGTAAGGCTCTCTGTGGTGAAGTAAGCGTCCTCATTACAGCTTTGCTCCTGAACATGTGGCTCATCCTCTTCCTGGGAAGTCACAGCAATACATTTTTTCACATCTGCCTCACAGAAGTAGGCACTGTCCATGGTAAAGTTTTGTTCTGCGCAGCCTTCACACTCTGTTCTCCCCAGCTTGGATTTCTGCCCGGGTGACAGTACAACATTGCCTGCTGGAGTAATATCACTCACTTGCGCATAAAAGTCAGTATTTGTCATTGAATTCTGGTTACTTAGCCGGGGAGGGACCAACGGACTAGCTGATTCAAGGCTGTCAGCAAGAGGTGGCCACGACTGGTTGTTTTCACACCGAATTTTAGTACTTTTAGTAGGAGGCTCTTGGGTGTCTGTGTCTAGGATGAGACTAGGAAGTGACTCATTATCTTTCCTGTCAAGGCACAAGAGATTCTCTTCTTTTTCAGTCATCTTTTTGAACTGATCAATATCAGAGATGGCATCACATGTGTCACTAGCACTGAAGTCTGTCTCTGGGATATCTGGTTCACAACAACTGGCCCGTCCAGAATCATCATCCTTCACCCCCAGGCAACTGTGTGATTTCAGATGCTCATCAGTTAGGAGCCTGTCAGTATCTGAACCTCTGTTCTTTTCATCAGGATCCTCTATGTCCAACTCAATAAACTCAACCCACAAGTCATCATTGTATAGCTGTGTCTTGTAGCTGTCATGGCTGGCTAAGATGGAGTTCACTTCATCTAGCTTTCCTTTCTATAAAGCCAGAAAAAATGAATGTCATAAAGGAACGAGTAAAAATGTTTGTGCTTTTTAAAATGTTAACTTCAGGAAAGATAACTGTAGCTGATGTAATAACTGCAAGATGTGTTCTTCTGTACTTTATGAAAACCAATTTTATGGCAACTCCCCTCATTTCATGATTTCTTCCTACAAAATTGTTCTGCCTGGGAGCACAATTGTCACCTGGTACTACTGCAATCATTCCCACTCTGAAGATTTTAGAGCATAATATTACCTTTAGGAGATCGGGGTCAATCCCTTTAATCTTTGGAACTGGCACAGGAGGAAAAATCAGCATTTTTAACCTGGAAAAAAAAAGATGGTTTTTAATTTGCAATGGTCCTTTCTGAGGAGTTCAGAAATAGAAGAGTTTTACATTGCATTTATACTTATTTACTTCAAAATTGAAATGTTTGATGACTGAATTTAAAATAATGCTAAGGAGAAGGAGGATTGTTTCTTTCTCTTATTCCAAATAAAAAACAAGCTTATTGCAGTCTGCCTTGTTGAAATCCCACACGTGTATGCTGGACTCCGGTCTGGACTCCAGTCTTTGCTAGTCTAATGCTCTGTAACAGGAAAGTAAATTCCTACAGCACTGTCAACAGTTTTCCTTTTTACATAATTTGCAAAGAAACCTGATACAAGTCTCAGTGTTCAGAGTGACTTTCCCACAGTTTTTTTTCAGGGACAAAGTAGTCTTGCAGAAGGCCAATAAATGCAAGTATGGGAACAGAGAAGGGGGAGTTGGGTGAAAAGCAGTGAATTACTCTAGAACAAAAAAAGAAAACAACTGAAACACAACTGCAAACATTTAGACTAATGTTTTGCCACCTCTGTGATCCTTCTGTCTTTACAATTATTAATGTAACAAGAAATTTATAACAGCAGCAGTCTGAGTTTTATCGTTGTAGAGAACGAGCTACTCACTTGCTACTGCGTTATTAATTACTACAGAAATAGATATTACTCTTGTCCTTCATAAAGCAAGCACATTTCAAATTATTTGAGGAAAAACAAATCCAAACAGAAAGATGATTTTCTATTAATAATAATCCAATAATAGTGGGTCATGACTATCATCTCCTCCATTTTACATCCTTGCTTCTTTTGCAAATGGATGAACTGTACTTCCCAAAAGGAAAATCCAGCATTCCCTTTATACCGCACCACTTGCCTCTCTGAGAAGGTGACTAAACTATGAAAAGAGAAGATCCAAATCCAAATATTAGTTTTGCTGTATTGATAGTGACCTTGGCGAGGCCCAGGAATGATCTGAGGAGTCTTAAGAAGCACTAGAGAAAGATTTAAGCGCTTTCTGCTTAACTACGGAAGGCCCACATTCCCCAGGTGTTCTGTTTTTCAGGCACGCGCTGCCCAGTAGGCTAGACTGAAAGCCAGAAATCCAGTAATATTCCACGTAATCCCTGGAGGGGTTATTCTTGCTGCGCACTGGTCATGCTCTCAGAGCAGCTACAGGATTGAGAACTGCATCTAACAAATCAGCTGAAAATTTCTACCACTCTCTGCCTGTAGAAATCATTTAGGAGAGAGGACTAGGCTCAGTTTCTTTCTTATCTTCAGATAGTTTGAACCTGCATCTCTCAACTCTAAAGAGAATGACCTAACCACTAAGGATAGGGCGTCTGTCCTAGGGAGCCTTGTTTGGATCTTGTGAGGTCAGAATTGAGGGAAATAGGAAGTGGTATCTGTTATCCTGCAGCTACAGGAGGAAACTGAACCTTGATATTTTGCCTTACGGGAAATCTGCGCAGCCTGCTCCTCCACACAAGTTCCCACTCCCACCACCACAAGGAAAGGGTGCAGGCTAACCGGTCCAGAAAAACTTTCCAGATAAAGGGTCCTCAGTGGAGGAAAGCCTCCTCCAATAATTACAATCAGCATCTAATATATGAAGGAGCTGTGATCAGACATGCTTCAGTCCTCAGGATTTCTGTGACCAAGACCAAGCTACCCCTTGCTCAGTGTGCTGACTTTAGTAAGCTCCAGGTCCTAGCTGTAAGCTGCTCTCTCCCCATTCTGACACATCTAGGATTTCCTCATGCATTGCATCAAGAGTCTTGATGCTAGCTCCAGATCGGGATGCTACTACAGGGAGTAGCTGCCTAAAAGTTAAGCATTGCCAACGCTTAGAGCTGCATGCCTGAATTATTTTTTCAGAGTAAGCTCAAACTGCACCCATTGCTCCATCCTCTTTTCACTTCAATGATTTGTTGTCATGGTAGTATGTGAAAAACACCTCAATGTTCATTTTCAGAGTGTATATACAAGACCACGCACGTGCACGGGGGCTTGACCACGTTATTTCTCCATAATCTACAACAGTACTGTCATGACACGCAAACTGAATTAATTCTGCCAAAATCCATCCCCGAGTACACATTTTAGGTGATGAATTCACTTTGAAACCGTTGTGTCATTTGTAAAAATCCTGAGCTTTGTTTTGTTTTAGTCATGTTATTTACAGGAGCAGCAGTCTGTCCACAGAGACCAAATACTGCCTTATGACTCAAGCTCTTTCCTTTGGCTCAGTGAAGAAACGGTCAGAGATCAGCTGAATAGTCTAAGAACAACAAATATATTGACATATGTTTGTGTGAAATTTCTGAACAATAAGTGTGTAAAACAGTCTTTACCAAATTTGAACGGATTAAAAATCCAACCCCATTCAAAGCTGAAGTAAATTAGCCAAATAAACATTGTGCTATAAAAGGCTGTGCAATCCAAAAGGAACAGGCGCTGTCAGTCAGATTCCCACTGCTCAAGGCCCAGTGCTTATAAATGCCAGCATCCATGTAGCTTAAGAGCATGGGAAACAATCCCCAAAATAGTCTCTAGTCCCCCAAATTCAGAAAAGTTAAAGCACCCTATTTTTTTAAACTATAAGTAAAGAAAACCTGACAGATAAAAACTCCCTACCTTGGTTGTTTAGATAACAGGATTAAGATCACTGTTACAGCCAGCCCACACGTTCCAAAGATGACAACTAAGAACCAGGGAAACTCAATTTCTGAAACAATAGAACAAAAAACTTATTAGCAGGAATCTGCATCTCTGTTGCATCTTTAACCTCAACCTTCTCTTCTGCTGCCCAAGGATTCCAAAGCCATAAAAACTGATAAGGGAATTTCTGGTTACTTAGATGTGAAAATTTTGTATTAAGCAGAAATAAAAATACCCCTTCAGTCTCAACAGTTTCCATACTGCATTTGTGAGTCTGCTTAGACTCCTTACAAAAAGCGACTGAGCTTTTTAATATAAACAAAATCCTAGCAGAGACAACATAAGAAGCAAAAACAGTCACGAGAGGTGCGTTCTGCCTGCTTGGAACGTGCTAGGAATAGTCGTGACAGCATACGGCTGCAGACCATGTTACTCCTTCTGGCAGCCAAAACTGAGTGAACACTACTTACAGTGTGTAACTCCACTAAATCATAGGCAAACCATCCCTCTCTCACAGAAACTAAAACATGGTGGTCTCAAAAATCATACTACTACTCTTTCAGTGGCAGCACGTTAATTATATTGTGAGCAGTGTCAACCGCAAAAAATACGGTTTCTTTTCCTCCTGTTACTTATCTTGCAGATCATTGCAAGGAGAGAATTTAGCTGATTGATAAAAGTGGTTTGGTAGGAAGGAAGAACAATGCTGATAAATGAAATGCTTTCTCTCTTAAATACTGGCAATTCCATCACACTCAAGCTGGTACTGTAGAAAACACAAAGTATAGAAAAATTTCTTCCGGCTGTAGCCTTAGATTCTCCTCATTTGTTCCCTACGTTAAGTTTTCCATACAAAGTTCACTCATTTCTGTGGCCAAGAAATACTTATAGTTCTATACATGAATATAAACATATGGCCTTTTGGAAAAAAAATGCACTTTCAGGCACTGGTTTTAGCCTTCTGTTCACAACTTAGACTTTGACTGGACATGTTCTGAAACACGAGTATTTAAAGTTTTATTGGGATAGGCCTATGCTAGACAGGTTCCTATTTTGACAGAGGAGAAGCAGTAACTCCTTGTCTTGTCAGTGAGAGCTGTGAATATCCTGCTGCTTTGAAAATCATTATTTTGAAGAGTTTGTTTAGTAGCTCAGACCTGAAAATGCTTTAGGATAAGGCGCTACCTCATTCTTTTAATAGAGAAAAGGTGGTGCCCAGCAGTTGTTCTTCCCCTATCTTATTCAAAAATACAAGTACAAGCACAGAAGCAAGAATCAGAAAAACACTGTCCTTGATAGTTCCAGGCAGATCAGAAAAGAGCACCGCAGTTCTGATAACAGACTTAACCAGTTGTATGGAAGTGACAATTCTCTCCTTCACTTTTGGAGTGATCAGTTTACACAATGAAGTATGAGATCTGACTGCCTTTATCTTAGGCTCTATGGTGTGGGCATCAGCAGTTATTATTTCTGATTCTTAAAAATATCCTTATTTTTGCTCTCTGAAGAGTTGGGAGTTTTGCTGAGTTTACTTCTGAACCTCTATACGAAATGTGTACACTCGCAATCTCATCAAATGAGTTTCGTGCAACAGGCTGAATTACCAATCTATTCAAGTATAAAGCCTGAACATATCAGGTATAAAACACGAAAGGAGAAATTCAAAAAAAAAGACAAAAAGCACAGCAATGCTTAGAAAAACACTTTGCTGCACTTTGCTTATTTACCTTCAGCACAATGAACAAATTCAATGCCCGTTTGAGAAAAAGATACATAAAGGATTTCACTGAACTCCCCAAATTTTTCGGAAGTACGTTGTCTTGATCGGACTCTTATCTCATAATCTCTTCCCATCTTCAGAGAGTACAGTGGAACCATTGTTGAGAGTCTGGGTTCTAACTGTAAAGACAGAATGACCGTGATTGATTGATTTGTTTGAGTTGTACTTGCAAATTTATACTGCTTCTTGATTTCAAAAAATAAGCATTTGAAGGCATTTTTGCTACCTGGAACCTTTAAGGGCACCATGAGAATTGTTCAGAGAAAATTCACACCATTTACTTTGGACTTACTAGCCATCAGACTCTGCTGTGATTCTGGAGACCAAGGTGGAGAATCCAAGCTCTCTGTAAGTCCAGCCAATGAAGAAAGGCAGCTGCCCCCAGGTATATGCCCCCAGGCAAGTAGGTGGTGTGAATATCTCCCAATGATCTTATCACGTTGTAAATGTTTTTTACTGTTATAACACAATATTACTGACTTCAGAATGCCAAAAGCCTTGTTAAAATAACACGGAAGTCTTAAAACTACTGCAATGCCCACTAAGGAATCTATATTAAGAAGGAAAACGATTTAAAGGTCTTCTAGCCAAATTTATTACGTCTCACAAATCTGCTTTTTTTTGGGGAAGAGTGCATAGCTTCCAAAATCTTCAGCTATGTATAAAATGGGATAATGCCTAGAGACACTGGTACAGCTGGGACCGGACTGTAGTTCTAAAGATTTACCTTTAAGTATTAACTGCAACGTACTTAGATATTGCTGCATACCAAACTATGTGGGAAGTCACACTGGAGGTCTTAATATGTGAAATCTCTCCTTATATTCCTCTTCTACAGAATGTTTTCTCACTCCAATAGACCAACACAAGTATATAAAAAATAAGGAAAATGTGCACAAAATATAAATACATCTGGCAGATGTTACATTCTCCTTTTATTTCAGAATCAAGGATAATACTGGCAAAAATGATCATGAGCTAGGAGTTAAAACAGCTGGAAAACAGTAGCTATTGGGGATTCAAAAGAAGCTTCAGTAATGCAATCCTACTATTACTGTACCTGCATAATCTACAATTTGAAACCCGTTATGTTGGTAGCGATGTTCTGTGGAGTACTTGTGATCCTTAACATCTCTAGATTGAAGTGTTCTGAGGGCTAATCAGTCAGATTTTGCAAGAGAGTGATCACCGACAGATTCCTTTTTCCTTTTCTCTGCCAGTTCAGAGCAAGACACTGGAGAAGCATCCCTGCATCACGCAGTTCTTACAATGTGAAGCCAATGCAGCTGGAAAGTGGCAGGGAGGGCATACAATATACACTAGCCCATTTTACTTATTTAATGCTATGAAGCCACAAAGAAATAGTACACTAGTTTTTCACACTAGATGCTTTTACTGAGACAATTAAAGGAGATTCTTATGGCAGGGGGGGGAGGCCACACAAAATCGTATGCACTCCAGATAATGGTGGCCAAAGCACTTGGAAAGGGCAGTATACAGGCCAAAATGGAGACCTGAAAAATGTGAAGCATAATTACTGCAGCTGTGTAACAGAAATGACCTGAACTTGCTAGAGTTGCCAAAAAATAGGTAATTGATTAACAGGCAGGATGTCTCTAGTTCATCAATGGACTATCAAAGGTTTACATAAGACACCTGGATGATGCAAGATACACAGACTGAGGAAGGTACAGTATGAACTGAATAGAGGGTGCTACTAAAGAAGTGTCTGTCACATGGATCAAATCAATTAAAAACTGTATGAGACACACGTGATAAAAGATAACCAATAAAAATGGATGACAGTATCGGAAAGGAAGCTTGGAATCAGACTGCTGGGTTGCTGGACCCTACTGCGCATGGTTTAGTTAGTGCACATGGTTACACCTGTGACTACCATACTGTTCTGACTACGGAAAAGTGTGACAAATCTGGTGTCGCGCTGAGCTTTGCAATTGCCCAGCCTGTGCGAGTCTGGCCCCTGCAAGAGACGGCTGAAAACCGAGCAACTGTTTGTCAGCAGCGGGCCAGAGCCCCCAGGGCGCTGAGGGTGCCCACTGGGGCAGCAGCGCCCGAGGCAGAGGCAACAGTGAACACTGGGAGACGCGCTGTACGAAGGCACGGTTCAGAGCGCTCAGGGTAGGCGTAGCACAAGGCAGGGCACCCATGCAGCACAGTACTCCATGGGGATAGCAGGCTGTCAATCTATTGCAGGGTAGGGATATGAGTTTGGCACCCCCCAAACAATCCGCCCCCACCTCACCATCAGCTCAGTCACAGTGCTGCACGGATGTAGCTATAGACTTCAGCTCTGGAGTCAGTACAACACGCTTCGCTGCCCTAAGAATACTTCACTGCAATGTAAAATTGACCTTTTCCAGCGAAAATTCAACAAGATACGATAGCCAGCAGTGAGTCCTCCCTGATCCAGTCCTCTTTCCTGAGGGCTGACTCGTGATCATCAATGTCATCCCACGTCAGGCGGATCTGGGCCTGTACTTTTTTGCAAGTAAGTCAAAAGATCAACCCAATCTAAAAATTTGATAAATACTAGAGGAAAATTAGACTTTTGAGATTCACTATTTTGTACACATTTTTAGGCACATCATAGTTAGCCGCTTCACTTCTAGACTATCACTCTTCACTATTGTTCATACGATGTGTGACTTCTCACACCTTATTAGAAGAACATAACAACCTCACAGAGACAGTGTAACTATCGCTACTCAGGATCAGCAAACTTGTCCTGACATAAGAGGGGAGAGACTTTTAGTCTGGTGAATGAAAAGGGCAACATTTCAAAATAAGAGCAGAATTTAAAAAACATATTCAGCAAAGAGAGAGTAAAAAAAGCTTTTCCAAGTGTAAACCAGATTAAATTTGGCTCTGTCTCATGAACAGCCACTACATAAGGCTGGGGATTTTGTTGTTTAGGAATTTGCTCAGAAAATAATTTTGATTCTTTTGGCACTACAACTTACTGTTGCAGTACTTTATTAATTAAACATTATTTTATCCTTCTATCAATACGTAAGTTATCTACTTTCAATTATCAAATGAACAATTATCAAATGAATTGAAGGAAACATGTACAAGGTACATAAAAAAATCAAACAGGTTAATCCCAAAGCACCTAAAATAAAATTACCAACAAGTCTGATTTGATACGTACTATAAATTCGTTTTTGTATCAGTTATATGTAGAAAGCGTTGTGACTTTTAAGTAGCCAGAGATCATCCTTTGTGTATAAAACTACTAATTTAATAATGGAAAATATAACTTTCCATTGTACATCCATCAATGCTATCTCTTTACTGCTTCAACACTCATTTTAGAAGATATTTGCAGGAAGGAATGCAAAGAGTGAAATCATGGCTTCACTGCTGTCATTAGGAGTTTTGCTATTGTCTTAGTTCAGATCAAGATTTTATCCAGAAATTTCAGTTTTGTGTTCTAATTGATAGTTTCTCAAGGATTTATGCCATGTCCGTGCTTGTAAGCTAAAATCTTATGATTCAGCCCCAATATAACATGAACTGTGATACTATCTTCTTGAGGCAAGTGCAGCATTCAGCAATTCCTTAACTGTTTTCTCAAAGAAGAAAGAGTGAACTTCAAGTCTTTGCCCTCCCGAGAAGAGCTATTCTCAAGGCCTAGTGGAATTACTGATGGCCCTGGAGCGAGAAAAAAGATTTTTTAGGCTATTTATATGATTGATAGCTAAAAGCTTATAAAAAAAATCAAAATCAGGCATTTTTAAAGAGGCATCTGTATTGCCATTTTCAAGTTTCATACAAAACCCTTGCAGGCTTTCAAGTTGTTCTTAAGGAGCATTGATTTATTGTCTAAATTTAACCCATCAGTAGGCTTTAAAATATAGGAGGTATACAGGAAATGAATATAGCGTAAATCACTATAGAAATTCAGCCAAGGAAAAAGGTAGGAAGAAGTTATAGACACTACAGGTCCTGCTTGACTGTAGACTTACTAATAAGAAATCAAATGAACAGAAAATGTTAGCACTGAAAAGGATCAGAGGTGGGGGGGGGTCAAAGGTCTTCTGCAGATGAAGGTCAACGAATCAGCTTGACTATAAATGTTTCAGTTGCTAAACTTGCCTTTTATAAATTAAGACAAATTCATAACAATATTATCTGCTTCCCTTCTGTCAGTTAACTCAGTTCCTATTAATGAGAAGATAAAAGAAGGGTTCTGCTCTGAAATGATGTTCTTACTGTGTTGAACTGATGTTTAGGAAGAAGTCCCCACATCCAAATATTCTGCAACACTGACGCTTAGCCTATACATTCTGGTAAGCTGGGTACACTTTTTTTTCCCCATAACAGGAAAATTAGCTTCATGAGATGTTAGCGATCTTCAAAAGAAAACTTCCAGATGCCCTGGACACTGTGACACTTTCCAAGAATAAAATTCCTATTCCAACTATTGAAAATACCATGCACTGTTTCAAATAGCTGAGATTTAGGAAACCAACAGAGAAATATTTTATCCTTGAAAAATTTGTATATATCTGACTATCACTATACTGTCCAATCTAACACAAGGATCTCAGGGTCTCTTATTATTAACTTGTGTGCCTACTATCTGGACATGAAAAGTTACGATATTTGCCAGAAAACGTCAGAAGTATATAGATATATTGTTTATGACTTAAGGTATCCTCTAATAGCAATTACAAACCTCTTACTCTTCATAACAGACAAAAGTGTTAGGGACAGAACAAGCCTGCACTGTACTATGACTATTACATAACAAGTATTTGCTTCATACCTCCTTCCATTTTGTCTCATTAACTTCTTTGTACTGCAATTCATACTCCAGAGTAATCCATCCCTTCTGAACATCTGCTGTTGGTGGTGGATCCCATCTTACTTGGATATCCCCATGGATCCCAGTCTGACTAGTATTTAGCAGAGTCCAGTTAAGGTGGACAGGGGGATCAGGTAGTACTGTTTAAACAGAGTATTTGGAATAAAACAGCCAGTTTTCAATGTGAAATGACCATTCTTGCTACACACTGTTAAATGATTTCAGGACTTAAAAAGCACATTAACCACATATTTGCTGATTAGCATCTAATCCTATGAGTTAATGATAAAATCACTAAAAGTTTGATAAGAAGAAGGCATCCTGCTCTTGGAGGCAGACACGCTCTGCATGTATCTTATCCGAATGACTAATAAAGACTAAGAATGTATTACCTATTAATTACACTATATTTTTCAATAGCAGCTTATAAAACTGAGACATAAACAGTTATCCATCAAAATTTAAATTTGTAAATTTAAATTTAGAGTTCTGATTATGCATAAAAACAATAATTGAAATTACATATTTTGTAACTATTTCCGAAATAACGTAGAAGCTCATTGCTACAGTACGGTATCTGAAAAATGATTGTAATTTTGATGAGCTGAAGAAAAGGGAACAGTGGGTATTCTAGTCACTTGCGGGAATAAAGTTTTAATTGCACGTGCGTACATCACAGATCTGAACACACACTAACGTTCAGAAAGTCAAAGGACAGTCACAATTCTTATCGCAATAAATATAAGCTCTCGGTTGGAAACGCTAGACATCCTGATCCTGCAGACTAGTGCTGATTCAGGAACGAAAGCTTATTTGGTTCCAGAACTTTGCAGAATCAAGATTTTGTGACACCTTACTTGCTCATACAGAACAGGGTATGTAGCATCCATTAGAAAGGGCCTGGAGTGACAGCAAGGGCAAACGCATCTGCATACATTTGAGAGACCACTGGTATCCATAAAGAGAAACCACACATTTACTAATATCCTTTTAGCATTATTATCCTTTTAGCATTCTTTCACCCTGGGCACTACTTTCCGGTGTGGGTCACATTACAAATGTTACAAAACCAAATCCTTTTCTATAAATCGTATTTTTTAAAACTAACCTTCCCAAGAGGCAACATTTAAATGCAGTATGAATAATAAGAAAGCTTACAGAATCATACCAATTGTGGTATAAAAATATAGCGGTAAAATGCAAAATGGAAGCATACCTATTTCATCAACACTGAAACATTTTTCATCAAATACTTCATCTTTACTGGCAAGCTTAACACAATATGGTATCCAAATAGAGGTGTAAGACGTGTTGAAATAACAGCTATTTTCTCCTGCAGTGATATAATCAGGACATTCTTTCCAGTCTTCATCATTCCTAGAATGGCAATAGAAACATAATAAAAATGAGGCAGAGATTTATAGATTTTATGAAATACAAATTATAGATGTTAAAAGACACACTGTTGATAAGTCATAACTTGTATGCAAGGAAGAAATACATGTCACTTACAAGATCCAAACCATCCTCCAAGCTACCTGCATAGCTGTGCCTAGGCTCTCGTGCCCTATTAGTGGTATTGCCATAGTTTGGATGGCACTGCTGAGGGAACAGTCAGAGGTAGTATTTTAAGCAACTGCTGTTGCTTATGAAGAGAGATGCAATGAGATCTGAAACACTGGAAAGTAGTCCGTAAGTCCCTGAGATTTGCAACCTGCAAAGCTAAACGCAAGGGGGTGAGGTTCCCTGAGGAACTGAACGCGAAAGAGAGCACTGGATACCGTGATGGGGAAGAGGAATACAGTGCTGTGAGTGAGAAAGGGCTGAGCAGCTTGGGGTAGAGCACTTCTAAGACACAGGCTTGGAACTACTAGCGAAGCAACTACTTATGTTTTTCCATTCTGACTTTGTTCAGAAATCCATGTCATTTGTAAATTAAAGAATTGCAACGGGAATATCATATTCATAGAAATCATTTCACCTCTTAAAAGAGAGACTCTAGCAGAGTCGTAAAGAGAGGGGCTTGAATCCTCAGACTGAGAAAGGCTGCTACTGTATACGGTCATTTTCAGATGGCCGAGCTGAAACTCGGTCCAGGTCCGGGTCCAAACCCCCAAATGGCTTCAATTAAAGCAAAATGAGAGGGACCAGATTGTTAGAAATATTCTACAGGAAAACTGACAGATGTTTACTCAGTGTTTCTAAAGTCACTTTGGAAAAACAAATCTCGCAGTGACTAGATTTGCTGCTGCTGCTGTTTATCTCTAACGCTACCTCTCAGACCAAATACAGCCTGAATGGGGATCTTTACAAACATACTGTTAGATGTTTGTTGAAAAGTAACAGTCTTGTTTTTTAAAACGTACAACAAAAATGTCTTTTCTTACTAAGAGCCATTCAAGCTGCACACAAGGAGGACTAGCCTGAAACAGAGTTATGCCAAGTACAGCCTTCAATACTTGAGTGGCTGTTTAAAAAACAAAATGTTGAAATGTAGACGCTACATTTGAGAATGAGAAAAGAGCATTCAGGCCACTAGGCACAGGTCTTGCAATTATCTGACGAGACTAGACACTTTTCTAAAAGAAACACTGTAGCTCTGCCCAAGTCAAGACTTGATGAAGGTGTTATGAGCTAATATCGCCCGCGTTAACGTATGAGACTGGGTTAGGTGCTAGAGTTGTGTCCTGAGCCTTAAATGTTGTTGGCACATTAAGTCAGAGGATCGCACAGAATCACAGAAAACACTGAAACAGAAATATTTTCAAGTGGATGTTCAGCTCACAACTTTTATCACAGTATACTTATTTCTGGGGCAAAGATGAAATACCTGATCTGTTCAACTTATGTGGCACTGCTTTATCGCAATTCAATTTATTTTTAAAGCTTGTACTCTCAGTGCTTGCCACTGACAACTGTCAGCTAATCATTTACACTTAAACAGTGGTTTTTGTCTTGAATCCCTATACTTCCGAGAGGTCTGGGAAAAGTAACTAAGAAAGCAAGCCTTGCCTTTATGCTTAAGTTTGCTAAGCAAACGTATCATCACTAGTGGAAAGTTTAAAACAGTTTGAAAACCAGTACGTTAGGTGGAACATAAATTCACATCCACCTCCAGTTCATGTGAACAAAAGAGTTTTGTCCTTAACAGCCAGTACTGGCAATGTGCACCTCCTCTTTCAGGCTACTCACTTCAACACCTGAAAATTACGGATGCTTAAGTAAAATGTGAATCTAAGCTATTTAATTCAACAGGACTCAGTAAAACATAATCCCCAGTCTCGGAGCAGACCTTTCTCCTGGACATACACATTCAGAATTTAAACTAGCATTTGATCAATGAAGTTTACATAAAATTGTAATACAAATTTGGGAGGGGCTGGGATCCAAAATCCACATACATAATGCGCAGACATAATGAGTCTCACAGCTGCATGTTAGGTCTATAAGAAATAAGCTGAAGTTCCATATTAAAACTCCCTTCCCAAGCCGCATAGTGTTCAGTTTTGGTTCTGCAGCATGGACCTACATTCATTAAGAATGTTTTCTTAATTCTCTCCCAAGTAACACTGGTCACTGCAAAAGGCTTGATAATGACCAAAGAATTCTGACATTGAAAAGCGCACATTTAAAACACAATTTTACGCCTTTAAAACACAGTATGGTTCATATCATAGCAAGAAAGCAAAGAGATAACAGGCAGATCTAAGTATATGACTTCTTTTTCTTTCTTCTGTTCTTTCATTCTTCTATTCTTTCCATGTATATACCTTTTCATGTACAACAGCTGTATTGATCCTGGAGCAGTGAGGTTATAAAAATTTCCATCAGTCCAATAACATGAAAACGTCTCCAGTTCCGGTGACCTGCACTTGCTGATTTGTGGCCACTGCAAAAGATCTGCAATGAAAAATGACAGGGGACAGAATGAGACAAATTAAAAAAACACATAAACCAGACTAACATGCTGTTAAAATGAAACCTGGCATTTTTATGAGCAATTACCTTTTTCTTTCAATCACTTATGTACAGTTAAGCAAGATTTAAAATCCTCTTACACGCATATATCTATAGGTGACTATACCTGTAAAAGCCAAATTAAAAAGACAGAAAAAACTATTGGGCAGTGTGGAAATTTTAGTATCACAGAGTCGGGACACATCAACATTGTGGCTGTAGTTCAGTACAGACATATCTGAACTAGCCCTGCATTTGCTTTAAAGAAACTGTGACACTCCACAGCTCAGTATTAGACTAACTACAGCTTAAGCATTTACCCAGCTGAGCAGTTTTGCATTGTATCAGCCTCTGCAGGGCTAAGTTAGTGCAGCTGCCTTGAACTGAGTTCAGGTTTGCCTACACTACACTGTGCAGATATAACCTTGCTCTAAGGGAGATAAGGGCAGCTCTAAGCACGTGCCTGTTACGCCACACGCCACTTCTATGTTCGTAATTTCTGTTCTTTGTCAAAACTGAAATGATGTAGAACCATGAAATGGCAGGTACCGTTAGTCAACCTTGTCAATCCTCGTGGGGAAAAAAAAAACAAACAAAAAGCTGTTGGTATGATTCATTGCTTCCAGAGCAGGTACCTAAATTCTTCCTGTTTTTTAACGGTCTAATGAAGCAGTTACCCCAAAATACCATTCTCTCCTATTTAGCCTGTAAAGATTTCCAGAGGGAGACCATATGCCTATGGAGGTGAGTACCTGCTTCCACTGACTGGCTGAGAAACGTGATCCATTAGGTACCTAAAATTTAGATATGAGTTGTGTGTTTATGATAGGTGGAATGATGCCTGGCCAGCGAGGAACATAATGCTACTGCATTGTGCATATGAACGTATGCAATAATCACAGCTGTAAATATTTGGTACAAAATAGCAGACACTCAAAACTGTAGAAAGTAGCCACACAATACAGATGCTTCCTCCTACGTATGAGGATTCCTGCATGTGGAGTCCTACCGCATATTGACTCTTTATTTAAGGCTTATATAGACTCTGAATGACAGAGCAATTTGTATTTCTTTAGCTTCCTGGTTCAAACTGTCCCCTCTACATTCTGCACTGCCAACCATCCACAGTAACTAATAGTAACTAATATATGAATATCACAAACTTCTGTTTTGCCCGCTCCATATCGTTGCCTCATTTAACACTCTGGACATTGAACAAGCCCTGAACAGAACTGTGTAAACGAGAGATTGTGCAAGTTTGGCGGCTAAACCAAACAAGCATTTAAATGTTTCCTTGTCAATCTGAAATAACTGATGTTTGATTAAAAGATTTAAACAAACAGGATTTTTACTATTCCTTAGCCAGTAAAGTCCCTTCTACTGAACTTGAAAGAAATTTCTTTTTTAAACTGAAAAAAATTTTGCATTGAAATGTTGCAGCAAATGGAAAGATTAAATTATTCAGAATTTTTTTCAGAAATTTTTATTTTTTCCAGAAAATATTGAAATAAAACGTTCTGACTATTGCACGTTGTTTTGTTTGGAATGGTATTCAGCGTTTGACAGCGCAGGCCTGAAATCCCCAGACACTTTTGGCTGACCTGATCTGTGTTTTTACATCTTTTTACATCATTCTTCAGACAAATTTTTACCTGGTAAAAAACGGTAAAAAACACACGATCATGAAATTACAAACTACTATAATACACGGGTACAAGAAAATAGAATAAAAGATTCAAGAACACTATTATATTTATCATTTTTAAAATTCATGAATGTTCCAGCCTTCAAACTTTACCTTTCTTTTCTACTTAATGTGAAATCAAACCCTTGTTTAAAAACAAAACAAAGAAAAAGAAATGACATTTTGTGCACCTCCTTCAGAGACATAAGTAAAATTGCCTCAATTGCATAATACCTATAATCAAGAAGACGAGTCTCTCTCTTCCTCTATAAACAGATAATGTGCACAGAAGTATATGTTACGGTTTTTCCTGTTTCTATCCTCAGCTGTGTGAACCAAGAACGAATATAGCCAATTTCACTGACACAGGTAAGAATTTAAGAAAATGATATACTGAAAAACCCTCCTAAATTAGAATATTTCTATTGATACTTGCACTGGATTTGTAAGTAGGACACACAACATTTAAAGTCCCTGCAGATCATGTCGTTGTCTCCAGGAGTAAATAAAGTCACACAGTCACTTCGTAACGTGATCGAATGACAGCTGGAATCAAACTTCACTTACACTTTGGGAGATTGAGCAGGAGTTTAGATTTAGGCTCTGTTATAGCTTAATAATGAACTCAGTTGAACTCACCAGCTTTATGCATGAGATAAATTAAGGACTATAAAATATATAAACTCTTCTAGAAAAACGGATTATAATGTAGCCAGAATTAGCATCAGTTACAATGAACAGGATCAGCAGTCCACACAGAATACAGATTAAGATGTGGTCCCTTACACCCTAGTTTTAGACAAATGTATTCCTAAGGTCCCCCTTTCTTGTCTACTTTCTCATGACAAGACGCTTATTCCTTTGTCTGGACAGATGTTCCTTCAATACGGCCAAGAATTTTTCAGCAGGGAACAGATTTGTCTGGGATTCATATGCTTCTTGTTTACTGGTTTATAATTTATATTTCTGTATTTCATGACGAGTTTCATTTGTAAGAAAAGTTATCTCCTGATTGATCCTTTCCAGTTTGTGTGCCAAATTTTCAGATTTCAAAACAGCAGGTCTTTGTGACGGACTGTAGGAAACTTTTGTCAAATCGACTTGTTTAACGCTTGGCACTCTTGGGGTAGATCTCTTGAATTCCTTATTTCCCGCAACAATCAATTATCAACATTTTACAGGACCCTGTGTGAGCTCCATCTCCTGAACAAACTGAACTAGAATGTGATAAATGAACAAGGAATGCATTTAGGCATAAAAGCAGCAGGCTCCTGAAGTAAAGGCTGTCAAACTGAGATTGAAAATAGACCAGAAAAGCAAAACAAAGCGTGGATACAATACTTGTTCTTTTCCTACCCGATCAAATAAGTTCTGGTCAAATTGTCACGAATAAAACCATCACTGCATTCAAGACACTGTATATGGGAGTCCTTTGCAATCTCTTACACTTGGCTGCATATTCAGATTCAATAGCAAGAAGTATGGAAAAGGACTAGAAAACCTGTGGCTTGCACCACGACTGGTAAGAAAGTCTGGTAGAAAAGTCTGAAAGGAAAGTGAGTCCTGCCTCAGGGTTCAGTGGAAGGTAAAATGCTATGCTACCACAACCATGCTGCAAAGGAGTAAAATCTCTTCCCATTCTGCTTTCATTTTGTTATGACCACAGATTAGCTATGGTCTAATCTCTGGCTCAGCTTGAATAAACTGTGCCAACACAGTAGCTAAAACAACAGTGCGGTTTACGGAAAGAATCAGGAATGCAGATGTACCATCTCTTCTTCTTACATTGGTCCGTAGGTCATCAGCCTGCAGTTTTCCATTCAGTGTCATTTCAAATGCTACATATAAACATTAAAAACAGAATATAATACTGTAACCGTAGTTTATTGAAATTAATATTTAGATGGACTGAAAAAACAAAAAAGACAATCTAGAGTTCTCAGAAGGCTAACTCCTTTACAGATTAATTTTTCTTGAGTTATAGTCTGTTTTAGGGACTGTTTTGTTTAAAAGTCCTGCTAATAAAATCTAACTTTAGAGGGAGCTGGCCCTGAGTGTAGAACAGCAATTGTTCAACAGGAACTGAAGTTCATAACCACGGGGTAACCATGTAGGTTATTCTCACCTTTGGGGAAGTAAGTCCTACTGCTGCCAGAGCTCTAATAGTTCTGCGAGAACAACAGCGGAGCGTTACAAGAGCTGTAAAGAAATGTCTCCTACCAGTATAGCGTAGATAAACTCATAATGATGATGACAGAAAAAATCAAGCTAACTAATCAGTAAATGAAGAAGGAGGATATTTTTTGCTGAACACAATGAAGTATTTCTGGTTGCGGTAATTTTAAAAGGTTTACGTAAAATTGTCACTTATCAGAACTTACGATACCTATTAAACTTAGAACAAACTTACACTTACAGTAACATGCTCTAATACAAAAATCAGTGATAGGGGAAACCTTATGTAACAGTATGTATCTTCATATGATCAACCCTCAAAGCATAAACAACACGTCATTGGTAGAGCATAACTGAGAAAGATGGAAAAGTAGCAGCACTACATCTAAAATTGTAAACAGCTTTGAAAAACTGGAACGCTACTTGCTGTAGCTCATATTTGTACATTGAAAGCGAATGCTCTGTCAATTATGGATCTGCTCCCGAATCCACTAAGCTCAACAAATGTCGGGCAATTTACTTCAATAGGAGCAGGATGACTTCTATTACTGGCAGCAGGAAATTCTGATTCTTTCAGATTGCACAGCAAAACGGACAACATTTGTTGTCAGCGGATGACATTTGAAATAGGTACAGTCTAGTACTAATATATTAACAGACATCCCACCTAGGGAAAGTGGGATGCAGTGGGCAGAGACAACAACTAGGTCACTTCCTGATCAGGTTGCCTCCTAATCTGACTTTTGATCTAGGTACCCTTGCCACGAATGGCCAGTAGTAAAGTTTTGGAACAAGTTTCGGGGAAAAAGAAAAAGAATTTATTTCATATCAGTAACAAATAAAATCATTTTACAGGACATACTCAGCAGAAAGAAAGTAAAGTTTAACAACTCTAAAATGGATACTGTATTGCTACATGAACTGAAGGGAAGCGCTGTGTAAGACAATATTCTGTGAAATTAGTCTAAATATTATCATAGTTCTTGATAAATACTGATGCTTTCCTAAGGCTTGCCTGCAACAGTAATGATATGTTTTAACCACTGCATTAAGACTATTTTAATGACTACTGCTTAGAGCAATG